CATGCCTGTAATCCTAACAACTCAGGAGGCGGAGGCAGGAGGATCATTTGAACCCAGAGTTTGAAACCAGCCAGGGCAACATGGTGAGACCCCCCCATCTCTAAAAGAAAAATAAAAAAATTAGGTGGGCATAGTGGCTTGTGCCTGTAGTCCCAGCTATGAGACAGACCGAGGCAGGAGGATCATTTCGGCCTTGAAGTTTGAGGCTGCAGTGAGCTATGATTGCACCACTGCAGTTCAGACTGGGCAATAGAGTAACACCACAAAAAATAAAAATAAAAATTTAGAAATGAAATTTTAAGTCATAGTGGCTGTATTCTTATCAAAGTAGACTTCAGGGCAAAGACGGAAGAAAGTGACTTTTCATAAGGATAAAAAGATCAGTTTATCAAATGAATATACAGTAATTTAGAGCCTCAAGATAACATGAAATAAAAACTAATAGAACCAAAGGGAAAAATGTAGTAACTGGGAACTTTAGGACAACTTTCTCAGTAATTGATAGAACATTTAGATAGGAAATTAGAAGTCAAATAGGAGGCATGAATGATACTACCACACAGTATGCTCCAGAGTAGCTGTGCATGGGGTGCTGGCTAGCCATATGTATACTCACCTTTAATTTCATGCAAATTCAGAGAAATCCCTATAAAAGGGCAGTAACTTCCAGGTGTTGCCGTGGTCTTTGTAAATTGTCATGGCACTGGTGGGAGTGTCTTTTGCTGATGAACAGCAAAGGCTGCTAGAGGTCACTTTTGGTGCCATCTAGTGGTTCTTGTTGATTTCTTCATTTCATCCTGTCGGGATCGGCAAGTAAGTTCTGCAGGTTTCCTACCTCGACAGTATTCATTTGGTTGTTAGGAAGAAGAGAGGCCGGGCGCAGTGGCTTATGCCTGTAATCCCAGCACTTTGGGAGGCTGAGGTAGGAGGATCACCTGAACCCAGGACTTCAAGGCTGCAGTGAGCTGTGATTACATCACTGCACCCAAAGGGAGAAAAGAAAGGACCATAGGAACCTAACCATCTTTTGAGTCTGCATCTGAAGTATCATTGCTTGGAGTGGCTGTAGATATCAAGGTATCTCCAGTGTCTAGAATTCACAAGGAATGACTGTTACTCAAAACTGGGTCCTGTACGGAGCTTGCAGAGGCCGCAGTGAAGGGATGAGGTGGGCGGAAGGTTGAGTTTTTAAGCTGAGGAAGGAAGTTAATTTTACTGAATGAGGAGAACACCGAAAATCGCATATCCAGACAGCTGGCCCAAATTTGAGAGCCGTGGAGATAAGGCTGGGAAGGGGGCTGAGCTGGTGAATTGGGGGAAGGTTTTACCTGCTCTCTGGTCTAAGGCCTGGGAGGCTCAGCTTTGTTTAAAGAGCCAGGCCCAGAGCACAAAGAGGTAACTTCTCGGGCTAGACATCCTCAGAATAATTGACACTCTGCTCTTTATACTGAATTGAATAATCAGAAGTGGAAAGCTAGGCTGTGGCTTGATCTGTTGGGCAAAAGCAGAAAATACAAGTACATCGTTGTTGTTATTCTAGTTATGAGGGCTTATGGTACTTCAGTTAGTTTTGGGTTGTCACCTGGTAATCGAGTCAATGTAAGTTGCAACCATGTATCTCATGATATCAACTGGAAGTCTTTTCCCAGAAGCCAATCCTGTATGATAAGATGTACCAAAGTTGATTCTGAGAATAAGAAAATACACTTAGAATAGAAAACTAAACATTAAATAGAAAAATGCCATAAATTTTCTGGCTAAAGATTTTCCTGCTTGAGGCTTGGATTAGTATAGACATCTTAAAATCCAAGTCATTCAAGACATCTTTTTGCCGGGTCAGTCTTCCTTTAGCAAGTAGTTGTATTCATCATTGCTGCAAGAACCTTTCAGTTGTGTTGAAAATTAGGGTCATTTGCCTTGACAATTTTCATTGCCCATTAGATGTGCATGAATGCTTCAGAAAATGTTTGAATAGTAAATCCTAGGGTGGATTAGTTTCCATGGGGACATCAGTCTTGTTTGATGTTGGCAGTCATTGAGTTCTCTAGCTGGGTTGTCGCTGTGGGATGTATTTTTCCCTCATAAGAAATATTGGAAAAGCAGGAGTCTCAAATTGAACTGATGTTAAATAAGGGCTCACATAAGGATAGTTTCTCTGGATTCTAAGGTGTTGGCTAGAGTGCTTCATAAACACCAACCTGTAGAATTGAGAAGTTTGGGATTCTGTTACTTAGCCTTTTTGATAGTGCCTCACTAAAAGTCTTTTTGTTGGAGAATTAGGGATTTAAAATAAAAGGAAATATCAAAGTAAAGAAAAGAACTTAAAAACATCCTGATATTTATTTGTTCTGCAGTAAAAATGATCAAGTAAACAGAAGTAAATTTCTTTCTTACTTATCTCCCACTTATTAAAAACATTTGCTCTACTTCCTTTCTCAATTACATAAGCTTGGTAAAGTTTCATTAACATTTTTATTTCAGCACTTTGAGTATTAAGTTGTGAATGTTGGGGTAAACCTTTTTGCTTTCATGGAAACATTTAAATTCTAAAGAATTATGTCATTGAGAAATATATTTCTTTGTTTATCCTTTGATTTAGTAAGTGGCTACAGTCTCTTACCTTCTTTTGTTGACTAGAGCGCGTTGATACAGAGTGATTGTGTGTGTGTTGGCATGGTGGACTGCAGAAGCAGTGTCCAGTGAGACAGACACTGAACTGAGTGAGAGTTGGGAATTTCAGGCTTTGGTCTTTCCTACCATTCCTCTAAATTGGCTTCGTGACCTTGGGCAAGCCCCTGAGTCACCCTTCTTTTCTCACTTATAGAGTAAGAGTATTCCAGATAAAGAGGTCCCTCAAAACTAAGTGAACTTACCCAACATGTTAACACGTGTTATAGCACTTTCTCATTCTTAGATATAAAACAAAGCCAATAAAATTCACTTCCCTCAACGTACTATACTTTCTTAAGTTGTGTCTTCACTATGCTATTTTATATTCTATAACAAGCTGTTGCTTTAGAATAATCCTACTCACATTTTCCTTAAAATGAAAGTCTTTTTTTTTTAATTATATTTTAATTTTTGAGATAGAGTCTTACTCTGTTGCCTAGGTTGGAGTGTAGTGGCGTGATCTTGGCTTACTGCAACCGCCACCTCCTAGGTTCAAGCAGTTCTCTGCCTCAGCCTCCTGAGTAGCTGGGATTACAGGTACCCACCACCATGTCTGGCCAATTTTTTCTGTATTTTTAGTAGAGACGGAGTTTCACCGTCTTGGCCAGGCTGGTCTTAAACTCCTCACCTTGTGATCTGCCCACCTCGGTGTCTCAGAGTGTTGAGATTACAGGCATGAGCCACCATAATTTTTGTATTTTTAGTAGAGATGGGATTTCACTATGTTGGCTAGGTTGGTCTTGAACTTCTGACCTCAAGTGATTCACCCACTGTGGCCTCCCATAGTGTTGGGATTACAGGTCTGAGCCACCATGCCTGGCCTAAAAATCAAGTCTTATACCATTACTCTGCTTCCACAAATGTATGTCTGTTATTTTTGCCCTTAATATGGCCTCAACGATCCATATTAAAATTATATCTCTTAATAAAATAACTTTTCTTTCATAGAACTGGGAATTAGCTCATTGAGAAGGAACTGTTTTATATGGACATTATAACAGACTGAGAAAGTATGTAAATGACACAAATTGCACAAATTTCTTACATATCTCTTTTGTACCTTCTTACATACATCTTACGGTGGCAGAGATGAGAATGTTTATTGATAGACACAAAAGATGTAGCCATTCTGTAGTATATATAAATGATAAGAAAAAGTAGATAAACTTTAAATTAATGCTCATTGTTTTAGTGTTTATTCCTACTGAGAAACTGTTCAGGTATCCAAAGATGAGTTAGTTCATTTGTTGATTTACATTAATTTATGTTTTAAAATTACTTAAGGATCTTCAAAATTATAGTGAAGGCAACCCAAACCAAAATATATAAAAGTGTTTGTCATTTGTTCAGCATCACGAATCATTAGGGAAATACAAAGCAAAACCAAAATGAGATATCACTTTATGCCTATTAGGCGGACTGTTATTTAAAAAAGAAAACGGTAAGTGTTGGCATGGTTGTAGAGAAATTGGAGCTCTTGTGCCTTTCTGGTGGGAACATGAAATGTTGTGGCTGCAGTGGAAAAATGTTTAACAGTTCTTCAAAACATTAAAAATGGAATTACCGTGTTATCCAGCAATTCTGCTTGTGCATGTATACCCAAAGGAAAGTAGGGACTTGAACAATATAGCAGTGTGCATAGCAGCAGCATTCACAGTAGCCAAAGGTAGAAACAACTCAGGTGTTCATCAGTGGATGAATGGATAAACAAAATGATATGTAGACATAGTGGAATATTATTCAGCCTTAGGAAAGGAGGGAAATTCTCAATCACACATGCTGGGTGAACCTTGGCAATATTATGCTAAGTGCAATAAGCCCTTATAAAAGGACAAATATTTTATTATCTACTTACATCAGGTAAATAGAGTAGTCAAGTGCATAGAGACAGAAAGTAGAGTGATGGTTGCCAGCAGCTGGGGAGAGGGGAGAATAGAGAATTTTTTAATGGGTACATAATTTCTGTCTGGGATGATCAAAAATTATGACTAGATTGTGTGGATAGTTACAAAATAATGTGAATGTACTTGGTGACACTAAACTGTACACTTACAAATTGTTAAAATGGGCAGCTGGGTTGATTCTGTGTCTTTGCTATTGTGAATAAAGCTATGATGAATGTATGCGTGCCTGTGTCTTTTTGGCAAAGTGTTTTATTTTGCTTTGGGTATATGCCCGATAATGGGATTGCTGGGTTCAGTACTAGTTCTGTTTTTAGTTCTTTGAGAAACCTCTACACTGCTTTCCACAGTGGTTGAAGTAGCCTATCAAAAGAAGATTGGATAAAGAAAATATGTTACATATATACCGTGGAATACTATGGAGCCATAACAAAGAACATAATGATGTCCCTTGCAGCAACATGGATGCAGCTGGAGACTATTATCCTAAGAAAACCAACACAGAATCAGAAAACCACATGTTCTTGCTTTTAAGTGGGTTAAACCTTGGGTACACATGGACCTAAAGATGGGAACTATAGACACTGGAGGCTGTGATAAAAGGAAGGGAGTGGGGCAAGGGTTTGTTTTCGACATGAAGGCGGAAGTCCATAAGCTGGAACTGATGTTCCAGAAAGCTGAGTCTGATCTGGATTACATTCAGTACCGGCTGGAATATGAAATCAAGACTAATCATCCTGATTCTGCTGGCAAGAAAAATCCAGTTACACTTTTAAAGGAATTGTCAGCGATAAAGTCTCCATATCAAAGTTTATGTGCACGCTTTAAACCAGTTGCTGTTGAGCCGAAAGAGTCTAAGAGCCGCATTTGTGCTGCTGTGAATAAGACTATGAATGTGACACAAAACCTTCAAAAGCAAACAGACCTGGAGCTGTCACCATTGACTGAAGAAGAGAAAACTGCGCAGAGCAATTAAAATCTCACATGCCAGATTTATGAAGAAATGGACTTGGAAAGGAAACTCTGAAAGAGAAGAGCTCAATTCCAGATAAATTTAGGAATATGTCTTATTAACACTTGATGCCTAGAGGTTGGGGGCTGGTGAAGAAGGTTTGGCATCAATGACTGGATAATGATGCCTTTCATGAGACAAACTGTAAGAAGGAGGACAGATAATATATGAATAAAATTCAGCCAAAAGGGTCAAAAAAGAAAAGAAAAAAGAAAAACTCTCTGTTGGTACTTTGCTTACTACCTGGGTGTTGGGACCATTTGTATCCCAAACCTCAGCATCATAAAGTATACCCATGTAACAAACCTGCATCTGTACTCTCTGAATCTAAAATAAAAGTTGAAATTTAAAAAAAAAAAGTGAAGAAAACAATTTAAAAAAGTGGTTAAAATAAATTTTATGTATGTTTTACTATAAATAAAAAATGTTTAAGCAATATTTATCAGAATTATAATTCAATTTAGTTGAACACAAACTTACATTTTTCAAAATCTTCAGCATGACAGAGCTACGATGTTAGCTTTTTTGATCAGTAAACCATTGAGTAGTTTTGAAAGTTGAGTTGAACTCTTCTCGTTAGAAACCAACCCCTATGTAGGCATCCTTCATTTTGTTACACTTCGTTGCACTTCTCAGAAACAGCGTTTATTACAGATGGAAGGTTTGTGACCATCCTATGTTGAGTAAGTCTGTTGGTGCCATTTTTCCAACACCATTTTTTGGCATTGAAATATTTTTAAATTAACATATATGTAGTATATATTTAGACATGCTATTGAACACTTAATAGTGTAAACAGTATTCATCAGAAAACCAAAAAATTTACGTGATTTGCCTTACTGTGATAGTTACTTTATTGCAGTGGTCTGGAACAAAACCCATAGTACCTGCAGGGTATACCTATATAATTATTATTATTATTATTATATTTTTGCAACAGAGTCTGGCTCTGTCACCCAGGCTGGAGTGCAGTAGCGTGATCTCGGCTCACTGCAGCCTCTTCCTCCTAGGTTCAAGCAATTCTCCTGCCTCAGCCTCCTGAGTAGCTGGTATTATAGGCACCTGCCACCATACCCAGCTAATTTTTGTGTATTTAGTAGAGACCGGTTTTTTTCATGTAGCCAGGCTGGTCTCCAACTCCTGCCCTCAAGTGTTCTGCTTGCCTTAGCCTCTCAAAGTGCTGGGATTACCAGATGTGAGCCACTGCACCTGGCCAGGTATGCGTATATTATTTTTTAAATCCACTCACGTGTTATACTTAATACTAATAATTATGAGAAAAGACAAAACTTTTTTCCCACTCAAACCAAACATTTTAAACTGGCTTGGCTTATCCAAAGATTTACCGTAGTTATGTATACTTGGATTCTTTTTTTTTTTTTTTGAGACATAGTTTTGCTCATGTTGCCCAGGCTGGAGTGTAATGGCATGATCTCGGCTCACTGCAGTCTTTGCCTCCTGGGTTCAAACGATTCTCCTGCCTCAGCCTCCTAAGTAGCTGGTGTTACAGGCACTCACCACCACACCTGGCTAATTTTTATATTTTTAGTAGAGACCAGGGTTTCACCATGTTGGCCAGGCTGGTCTCGAACTCCTGACCTTAGGTGATTTGCCTACCTCAGCTTCCCAAACTGCTGGGATTACAGGTGTGAGCCACTGCACCTGGCCTATACTTGGATTCTTAAAAATGTTTCTGAGCTAGCAGTTTCTGTCACAAGTTTCTTTAGTTTCTGTGAATGTGGAGAATATACATGCTTTTTCATCTCTGTAAATCAGTTTTACAGAGCTCTTCTGTTTAAGAGCTGTGATTTATTAATACCCTCTGGAGGCAGAATATTTCATACCTAATGAGAGTGAAGGCTTTTCTGAATTACAGATGCTCAAACATGTAGAAGGCTCTTCACCTCAGTTCTACAACTTTAGCTATGGATCACAAGCAAAGACAGAAACTCATCGTTTCAGATCTCACAGGAGTGATTGAACTTACAAATATCCAAACAGACAAACAAAAAGACTAACAAACCAGATTCTCTGTCATCCATCCAACAGAGGCCATGAACGAAATCTACCTATTACTGTTGCAGTCTAGCCAGTGCACCACAACATTTCAGTCTTGTTGTCTGAGGTGGTACCTGGAGTTCTTTGTCTCACAACCAAGAAAATTAAGGAGCATGAACACAGAGTGAGGTTGTAGTGAAAGTTTAATAAGCAAAAGAAAAAAGCTCTCTGTAGGAGAGAGGGGGCCTGAGAGAGGGTTGCCATTTTTATAGTTGAATACAAAAGCTTTTATAAGAAACACCTGTCATCTCTGTAGCTGTTTGTGTAACTTTTTAAATCTGTGAAGCTGTCTGTGTAACTCCCCCTATCTGTGCAGCTGTGGGCATGTCTTTAGGCAAGCACAAAGTGCAGCTTCTCTTGGTTGTGCAACTGTGGGTTGCTTTGGGTAAGGTCCCCCACTCCCCATGCAAGTTCCAAGTGGAGCCCACCGTGTATATGCCTGAAAAGGGGAAGAAACTTTTTCCTGGGAGGCCGAAGATTACACCAGAACAAAGGCTTGTATGTTAGGCCTTGTTTCCTTATCTGTGCAGCTGTAGCCTGAGTTTTCCCGACTGCTCTATTTGTGCCTGTGGTTTGATTTTTTCAGACTGTTTTTTGTGTTTGAAGGAATTTTACCAAGGACCCATCCTACTGTCTGCCTGACCAGCTTATTTTCCTTTCTCAGTACTGCCGTCTTTGGGGATAGTATATTGGTCATGAGTGAACCAGAAACACAAAGGCACAAACTTAGTAGAGAAGGAGAAAAATACATAGAGAAACAGTTAGCAAAGGTAGAGCTTTATTGCTGCATGGACATCTCTTTGGGAGCCAAGAAAAGATGTGTTAGGCTTAACAGACTGTAAGGTGTGTTTCTCATTTACTGAGCTCCATCAGGTCCACTTTAGCTTCTCAGTGGATGACCTCCAGAACTGCTGACTATAATTTTTAAAAGGCAAAGTTGTGACCTTCATGCAGCTAGAGGATGAACACATGCCAAATATTGACTCAATTAGTGCAAAACCAGTAAGGCATTAAAACTGGTACAAAGAGCATATTGAGAGAGATGCATGCGATTTAATAGGAGATTGAGATGAGATTGCTGGATTAGATAAAAACAACTGGTTATTGCCTTACATGGTGGCAAACTGTAACCTTTGGGGTCCTTTCCATGAATAGAAATCTACAAGTTGACTTCTGCACCTGTGGAGTTGTAAAATGACTCAGTCAAAAGAAAATCAAGCCTAGAGCTTCACTGAAAGAATACTCGGTGCTACAGTGTCAGTGTTTGTATTCCCCCAAAATTTATATGTTAGAACCTAATACTCAGTGTCCTAGTATTCTAAGAGGTGAGGCCTTTTGCAAAGTGATTATGTTATACATGCTCTGCCCTAAATAATGGGATTATGTGCCCTTATTAAAGTAGTTGAAAGTAGCTACCGTCCCCAACTATTATGTGAGGACACAGAAGGCACCATTTGTGTGTAACAAACCCTCTACCAGACACTGAATCTGTTTGTGCTTTGAACTTGCACTTTTCGGCCTTGAGAACTGTGCACAAGTAAATTTCTATTGTTTATAAAATGCCTAGTCTAAGGTATCTTGTTGTAGCAGCCTGGATAGACTAAGACACCCAATAATCTATTTTCAGATAATCTTTCTACCACCTTTTTTTTTTTTTTTTTTTTTGAGATGGAGTTTTGCTCTTGTTTGGCCAGGTTGGAGTGCAGTGGTGCAATCTCAGCTCATTGCAACCTCTGCCTCCCAGATTCAAGTGATTCTTCTGCCTCAGCCTCCTGAGTAGCTGCGTTGCAGGTATCCGTCACTGTGCCCAGCTAATTTTTTGTATTTTCAGTAGAGGTGGGGTTTCGCCATGTTGGGCAGGCTGGTCTCAAACTTTTGACCTCAGGTAATCTGCCCACCTTGGTCTCCCAAAATGCTGGGATTACAGGTGTGAGCCATGGCACCTGGCTTTTTTTTTTTTTTTTTTTTTCAATTAGCAGTGATAGTTGAGTATTCCTTATCTGTTCTATTCAAGTAATTACATGTTAAGTAGTCTTTATCTGAAATGCCTGGAAGCAAAGTATTTTGGATTTTTTCAGATTTTGGAATATTTGGATTAAACTTAACTGATTGAGCGTCCCAAGCCTGGAAATCTAAACTCTGAAATGCTCCAAGTGAACATTTCCTTTGAGCATCATGTCAGTGTTCAAAAAGTTTCTGATTATGGAACATTTGGATCTTGGATTTTGGGTTTGGGATGCTTGACCTAAACTGGTAATTCTTCAATTTAGTTTTTAAAAACTCTTTTGATTTTGATTTTAACATTGATGCATGTTTATCTAAAAATATGGAAAATAGATAAAAGAATTTAAAAATTATTCATAATTGCTCTTGATAATATTAAATTTATTTTCCCCTGTCTTTAGTGTCTAATTGTCTGCCAGAAAATTAGGAATCTGTTGCACTTGATTTTTAAATCACTTAACTATGTGATATTTTAACAGCATTACCAGTTGCATTTTCCAAATTAAGTTTATTATTTATTCATTTCTTAACTGTAGGCTATTACTTAAAATTTCTTAAATTTAGTTTTTGGTGTTTTAAAGAAATCATAGATTTTGAAGCCACTGCGGCTTAGCACATCTTTGTGTTTCTATTACCTAACTATGTTTTTGAGACATAGTCTTGCTCTGTCATTCAGGCTGGAGTGCAGTGGTGCAATTTCAGCTCACTATAATCCTCACCCCCCAGGTTCAAGCAATTCTCCTGCCTCAGCCTTCCAAGTAGCTGGGATTACAGGCACCTGCCACCACACCCAGCTAATTTTTGTATTTTCAGTTAAGAAGGGGTTTTACCATGTTGGTAAAACCATGCTGGTCTTAAACTCCTGACCTCAAGTGATCTCTCTGCTTCTGCCTCCCAAAGTGGTGTGTTTTTGTTTTTCAAGCTTTGGTGAAGTGTTTCATGAAACTGTTAAAAACAAAAAACAAAAAAGCAAAACAGTTGCAGGAATAAGTTATTTTAACACAATGCAGACTTCGTGTCAGGTGCCTGAAAGGATTACCTTTGCGCGTCCATTAACTGTTACTTACTAAAAATTTGAGACATTATTTGTCTAATGATAGATTTTTGTATTGTATAGGTACAATGTGGGAGAGGTATTTTCAGCTGCTTTGGAAGAGCGGAGAATTCAGGCTCTGCTCTCTTAAAGCCGCTGAGGACTTTGAGTCTTCCTACCTTTGAACCTCCTAGTAAATCCCCTCAGATACTGACCTGATGCCTGGCGTATGATTCTCCAGTCTCCTGTTCTTTTGAGCCTTAACAGTGTTTTGGGGATAAATTAGGTACATGGAAGCAGGTGGGTGAAGAGACAGGTATACTTTATTAGAGTAAATATGTACCCATTTTGGGAGCAGTTTGGCCGGAAGCCAGAATTAGCCTATTAATACTGATGTCATTTCAACACAGTGCCTTTGGTATTGTACCACATTGCTCATTAATCACAGAAGTCATTCCTTCCCTCCCAACATTCAAGGTGGTTTTTCTTTTGTATAGGTAGAAGTGAGCTTTATTTTTTTTCTTGTTATCAGCTAAATCCTTGAAATTGAGGAACTTCTGAAAAATTACTTTGTTAATTAATTCTTTCACATATCCAAAGTATGCAAAACTGCAGACTGGTAAAGATAAACCACTAAATATTGCTAATCACATGACAGATTTATGTATGAGGAAATTAAAGATAACCGCTGTTTAAATAACTTTGCTATTAAGTTAGCTACTGATGTAATTTTGTAGATGTGATCTATTAGGATGTGCTATTCAGACCCCTGAAAACCAAAAGCAAAAACTGACCTAAACATTTTATAGTCTGGAAAGTTTCTTTATTTACATATTGTTGTTTCTCACAACTAATGACAGTTGAGACTGACCAGTAGTATGATTTCTGTTTTAAAAATGCAGACATTGAAACTTTAATTTTTTATGTTTTGAAACAGGGTCTCGCTCTGTTGCCCAGGCTGGAGTGCAGTGGCATGATCTTCGCCTCACTGCAACCTCTGCCTCCCAGGCTCAAGCGATCCTCCCACCTCAGCATCCAGAGTAGCTGGGAGTACAGGCCTGTGCTACCACACCTAGCTAATATTTTGTGTTTTTAGTAGAGACGGGGTTTTGTCATGTTAGCAGGCTGGTCTCAAACTCTTGAACTTAATTGATCTGCCCGCGTCAGCCTCCCAAAGTGCTGAGGTTATGGCTGTGAGCCACCACACCCCGCCTAGACACTGAAACTCTTAAAAGAAGCTAAATTACTGTCTTACCTAGTTCAAACAGGCAGAAAAGTATACAATGGAGTTAAGGCTCAAATCCAGATCTTTTGACTTTGAATCCTGTAACCTGCTCCCTTTCTATTTGCTGCATACAGTTGGCAGGCTCCTCTTCTACCTGTATTTTCAAAGTAGATGCATATCAGTGATTCTCAAAAGTGTGGCCTGGTAATGCCAGGGGTCCCTGAGTCCCTTTCAGAGGGTTCTCAAGGTCAGAATTATTTAATCATACCAAGACATGACCTTTTTGACTAAGGTTTAGGGAAATACAACAGTCCCACATTTTGAAGTAGAATTCTCAAGGCAGTAAATAGGGAATGGTAAGTGAGTTAAGGAGGCTTCTCTAGGAATGGATGTCTGAGCCTCCTGGAAAACTAAGTGAAGGTACTGTCTGTCGTAAGATCTAGTTGGGGTGGGGGTGGTAGAGGAGAGGAATAGAGAGTTGGAGGATACCCCTCTCTTCAGTGGGCTAAATAATTTGTATGTGTGTATTGTTTAGTGTGGTAGTTTTGTGGTATTATCTCGTTTTAATTTGCAATTCCCTAATGGTAAGTGATGTTGAGCATCTTTTCATATGTTCATCTGTTTTTGTACATCTTGGGTGAGGTCTCTGTTCAGATCATTTGCCCCTTCTCCTCCATTTAAAAAAATAGACAGGGTCTTGCTCCGTTGCCTAGGCTTAAGTGCAGTGGCACGATCTTAGTTCACTGCAGCCTTGAACTCCTGGGCTCAGGGGATCCTCCCACCTTGGCCTCCCAAAGCACTTGGGATTATGGGCATGAGTCACCACACCTGATCTTTTGCCTGCTTTTTAATTGGGTGGTTTGTGTTCTTATTGTTGAGTTTTAAAAGTCTTTGTATATTTTGGATACCAGTTCTTTATCAGATGTCTTTTACAAGATTTTCTCCCAGTCTGTGACTTGAGTTTTTATTTTAACAATGTTTTTCACAGACCAGAAATTTTCAATTTTAATAAAGTACAACTTAGCAGCTTTTTGTTCGTGAGTTGTGCATTTGGTGTTTTATCTAAAAACTCATTGACAAACCTAAGTTCACCTAGATTTTCTTTTATATTCTCATCTAGAAGTTTTATAGTTTCTCATTTTACATTTAGGTTTATGATCCATTTTGAGTTAATTTTTGTGAAAGGTGTAAGGTCTGTGTCTGGATTCTTTTTTTTTTTTTTGCATGTGGATGTCTGGTTTTTACAGCACCATTTATTGTAAAGAGTATTCTTTCTCTCTTGCATTGCCTTTACTGCTTTGTCAAAGCTTTGTCAAAGATCATTTGACTTTGTGTCTATTTTATCTCATTGACCTATGTCTGTTCTTTCACGAATACCACTCTATCTTGATTATTATAGATTTATAGTAAGTGTTGACATTGGAAAGTGTCAGTCATCCAACTTTTTTCTTCCTCAGTATTGGGTTGGCTAGTCTAAGTCTTCTTTTTTTTTTTTTTGTCTCTACGTAAACTTTAGCATCAATGTTTTGATAGCTGCAAGATAGCTTGCTGAGATTTCAATTGTGATTGCATTAAACGTATGTCTCAACTTAGGAAAAACTGAAGCCATGACAATGTTGTCTTCTATTCCATGCATGCATACTATTTTTCTAGGTTTTTTAGGTCTTTGATTCCTTTGGTCAGTTTTGTAGTTTTTTGCATATAGGTTCTGTATATATTTTGTTTGATTTATAACTAAGCATTTAATTTTTTGTGGTATTGCAAATGGTATGTATTCTTAATTTCAAATTCCAGTCATTGTTGGTATGTGGAAAAGCAACTGACTTTTGTATATTACTCTTCTGAAATCTTGCTATAACTGCTTATTTCTGTTTTTTTGTTATTGCTTATTTTTGTTTGTTTTAATTACCTGTCATGTTATCTATAAAGAAAGACAGGCTTTTCCTCCTTCTCAGTCTGCATACTTTTTATTTCCTTATTGCACAAGCTAAGATTTCCAATATGTTTTCTAGGAGTGATGAGAGAGGATATCCTTACCTTGTTCTTTCTTACTAGTAAGTATGATGTTAGCTGTGGGTTTTCGAATATATGTTATTTAGCCAGTTGAGAAAACCTTCCTCTGTTCCTAGTTTGTTAAGAGTGATTAGTCATGAATAGGTATTGGGTTTTGCCAGTAATGTTTCTTGCATCAGTTGATTTGATCATATGATACTTCTTTTGGCCTATTGATGTGGTGAATTACATTAATTGTTCATTAATTACTTTTTTAAAAATTGCTTTTCTAATGTCAAGCCAGCCTTGCATACCTGGAATAAATTTCTCTGGTTCATGGTATAAGTCTTTTTATATATTGTTGGATTTGATTTGCTAATAATTTGTTTAGGATTTTTGCATCTGTGTTTGTAAGAGATACTGATTTGTAAATGTTTTTTTCTTGATTTTTTTTTTGCTTGGTTTTGGTGTTACTCAACCTGTTCTCATCTTTCTTTATTCTCTTCTAGCTTTTATTCATACATATTTTCTGATTTTAGCTGTGTGAAAATGATGTACAAGTAGTGTTTTATTTGTTCACTTGAATTAGTAATCTCTAACATCCATTCAGTCTCCAGTAAAGCCTGTTTTATGCTGCTTGATACTTTTCTTTATATGGTTTTCATTTAAGACCAGTTATATTTTAAATGTTGAATTTTATAATGAGAAATATCATTTAACTAACTATATTTACAGGAAGGTGATTATGCTCTGAAATCTCTAGATTTTTCCTGTGAAGTTATAGTTAAATTAAGATAATAATGAAGAAAAACTTTGTTTTCCTTTAGCTAATAAGGAGAAGTGTCATAGTCCTTTGTACTTACGCAGTAACTCTTACCTAGAAAAAATAATGGGATTGTGTACCTTCTCAGAGCTGAGGCACTCACTGAACAGGCTTGACTGGCAGTATCTCACCCCACCCTTTTCTTGTATGTTCCTCATATTTTTCTCATACATTTTTTTCCTAACCTTTTTGTGAGATAGAAGAACATAGTTTTGATTTTTTTATTTCTTTTTATTTTATTTCAGTAGGTTTTTGGGGAACAGGTGTTGTTTGGATAAATTCTTTAGTAGTGATTTCTGAGATTTTGGTACACGTATCACCCAAGCAGTGTACACTGTACTCAGTGTGTAGTCTTTTATCCCTCACCCCCCTGCGCCCTTCCCTTTACGTCTCCAAAGTTCATTGTGTCATCCTTACGTTTTTGTGTCCTCACGGCTTAGCTCCCTCTTGCAAGTCAGAATATATGATATTTGGTTTTCTATTCTTGGGTTACTTTACTTAGAATAATGGTCTCCAACTCCTTCCAGGTTGCTGAGAATACCATTATTTTATTCCTTTTTATGGCTGAGTAGTATAGAAATGGAAGAACATAGTTTAATAGTGATTTTCTTCCCTTGTAAAATGTTATGTTTCCTACTGTCAAGCACTAAGTACATTGAAGAAAACATAATTTGATTTCTTTTTTTGAATTTTGTATTTAGTCAGTATTTCTACGATGAAAAAGTTTTGCAGCTTAACATAGAGTGTGACTAAGGATGATGATGGAAGCAAAGAGGAAAGTTTAGGACTTACTAACCTGAGGAAAATGAAAGTATATTAATTGTGAGATTATTTTGATGTTTAAAAAATGGCTGTTTGTGTTTGTGCCTCTGCTTTTTCTTAGGCAGAGACTCCCCCTAATGGGCCAGATTGTGGCTATGGCTCGTTTCACCAGCAGTACTGGCTTGACGGAAAGATCATTGCTGTGGGGGTGATTGACATCCTCCCAAACTGTGTATCATCTGTGTATTTGTACTATGATCCTGATTATTCGTTTTTGTCTTTGGGCGTCTACTCTGCACTACGGTAAGATGGTTTTTTGCCAGTATTGTAGTGGGTTATATAGAACTTCAAATAATTACTCATTTGATTATATTTAATTATGTAACAGTAGAAGTCCTATTTGACAGTGTATTATAATAATTTGTTGCTGGTCTCTTAAGTAGAATATATGCTACTATATTATAGGTGTTCTATATGAGAGTTAAATACTACTATAGAATATATAATTATGTATAATTTATAATTTTCATTTAAGAACAATTAGTATATTTAAAATCATTGAATTTTAAAATGAATTTTAAAATTTAACTAGTATTTACAGGAAATATATATTATATAACTAGTCATTTCATTGTATATATAATATACAGTTGTATATAAACTAGTGATTTAACTAGTTGTATTTATAGGAAATAAATATTATGTATAACTAGTATCTATAATATATAGTAGTTTTTACTGTTTTTAGAAGATATTACCTTTAGAACTGATGCCAGTGCCTGATGGTGATTCTCTAGCTATTTTTTTTTGAAACAGGGTCTCGCTCTGTTGCTAGGCTGGAGTTCAGTGGCATGATCTCGGCTCACTGCAGCCTCTGCCTCCCAGGTTCATGCAATTCTCCTGACTCAGCTTCCCAAGTAGCTGGGATTATGGATGCACACCAGCACGCCCGACTAATTTTTGTATTTTTAGTAGAGATGGGGTTTCACCACGTTGGCCAGGATGGTCTCAATCTCTTGACCTTGTGATCTGCCTGCCTTGGCCTCCCAAAGTGCTGGGATTACAGGCATGAGCCTGGCCAATTCTCTAGCTTTTTAAGGTATCCATGTATTTAAGAAGTCATTGTATTTGTGGGTAGCTTTCTTTGTTTATACATTTATTTATGCTCCCCATCAGAACTACTTATATTCCTTAAGTGTTATATTACTTATATTCTTGTCATCACTAGTTTCTACTTTCTTTTTTCTTTTTCAAATGAGATGGGGTCTTGCTATGCTGCCCAGGTTGGTCTTGAACTCCTGGGCTCAAGTGATTCTCCTTCCTCAGCCTTTCAGGTAGCTGGAATTGCAGGCTTGCACCACTGCATTCAGCTTTATATTTTTTTTTTTACTATTAATTAAAAGTTAAATTAATGTGGTATAAATGAATTAAAGTAATAGGAGTCTACTGGAAGAAATATACGTGTATACAGAACAGGCCTGGGGAATCCCTGGTGGTCTGCTTGAATTTATGACCCTCATCAAAAGATAATTTCCATCGCTGGAAATATATGTATGCAGCACAAGACATTTTTAGTGGTGAGAAGATTAGAGTCATATTCTAGTTTTCTGTATTTATTTCTGTTTGTGTGTATATGTGGCAGAGGAGGGAAGGAGGGTTGGAAACAATTTTTCTTTTGTTTGGGGGCTTGAGTCTTTTTCTCACTCTTTACTATCGTGTCATACTTTTTTCATTTCTCAGACTTCATGTCTGATGGTCACATTTTCATGTCATAGTAAAATGTACTACCAGATTATTTTATTTTTTCTGTACGTGCTTTTCTATGAATATAAAAGTTGAAATTTTTCTTTAACTTAGAAATTTAATATTGAAAAAATATCTGGTCCACAATTGATTTTGTATGTGTGTTTCAGTGGTCCACAATACCAAGTTCTTCGTTTTAGCGTTTTCAACTTGACTTTTTCCTTAATGCCAATTTATTACAAATCCACAATTACATAATATTTATAATGGTAGCTCTGTAACAGTCTTTTATTCTAATGTATTTAATCACATTTTTGTATAAAGTAGTTTAAAAATACTTATGGCTGTTGGTGCTCTCATTGAAATTGAAACTGATAATTTAAAGCATTCATGTTTTATAACTTTAGATTTTACAATTATTATATAACTTCAGAAGTTTTTTTTTTCAGAAAAGATACATTTTCTTTATGCCCAAATCAGTCAAAACTTTCAAATAATTGCTAGTTGTGTGTGTGTGTGTGTGTGTGTGTGTGTGTGTGTGTGTTTTATCACTTTACAATGTGTTATAGATTTTTTCTAGACTTCTCAGATGGATTTTTAAGGGTGAGATTTATTTATACATAATAAGCTGTGGCCTATGTATGAAATACTTCATGGTTCAGTAAACTGAGAGAAGATTTAGATATTGAGATGGCAAATAATTAATTCCCAGCAAAATTAGCAAGAGTTATCATTGATCGCCTAGTATATCCCTGCAAACACTAGAGCTGGAGAGCTGTGAAGGAGCCGAAGAGGAGCCTGAGGTCATGAAAGGTTTGCCAGTTGAGAATGGCATGGTTGAAACTGCTCTGCAGTCTTGTCACTTCCTTTTGGTGCTCTTGAGAATAGGAATTGAGGAGTTTATAGGAAAAGGAAAGGCAGCCACGAGACTGACATCTTGAAGCAAAACTGGAGAAAGTAGGTTAGCAGTTGTTAATTCCATTATTGGTTTTAATGCATTTTGGTGACACCTTTCCCCTCAATTTCTTAAGTTTCTTAAGCAGTCCAACAATCAATATAGTTTTATGTTTTTAGATTTTCTATAATCTAGCCTGTAGATTTTTATTTTTATTAATTTATTTTTGTAATCAGCATCTGCTTATCCATAGCCTGTAGATTTAAGAATTGTTTGAATTGGGGATCACGAGCATGGCATTTGTTTTCATATAAAATTTTAGATACTCCCTAGCACTGTGACAAAAATAAAATTGGTGGTGGGCATGAAGCCTGTTTTATATGGAGTGGTCAGGAAAGACCTCTATGAACAGGTGACATTTCAGAGGCAAAGGGTAGAAAAAAAGGAACCTGCCATGTAAATATCTGAGGGTAGGAAGAAGTTCAGGTGACTGGCAGCCAATCTTAGTGCCCTGAGGTGGCCAAGAGAAACAGAAAAGTCTTTTGGACTCGGGTGTAGGGAAGGACATAGAGAGCCTTCTGCAAGGGGCAGAGATGCAGGTAGAGTTGGTGAGAAGGAGGCAGGTGGAGTAGCGCTTGTAGGACATGGTGGGGAGGTTGAGTTTGATTTATATGTGGTGCCAACACACTGCTGGGATGGGGGATTGGGAGATCTGATTAATACTTTAAAAGACTACTTGGCCTGTTCTATGGAGAATATGGAGGGGCAATAGCAGAAACAGAAGAGCCAGTTGGGAGGCTGCTGCAGTCATTTAGGGGCACCATGATGGTGCTTGAACCAGAATATCTGAGGTGGAGGTGGTGAGAAGTGATCAGATTCAAGACATATTTTAGAGAGAAAGCCCCAAAGACCTGCTAATGGATTGCACGTGAGGATGAGAAGAAAAGAATTAAGGATGACCAGGGAGAGGTGATGAAATGAACTAAGGTGGGCAGGACCGGTGGAGTGGTACCAAGGCTGGGTGGGCCTTCTTGGAATTGGTGGTCTTATGTTTGCTTGTGTCAGTGCATTCTTTACTCAGTTTGAACCCTGAGAATGGATTGGTTCTGGAAATAGGATTTATTCTCTTAGAGGCTAATAATGTTTAACCTGGTTGGATTTAGGAATACTTTTAATTTAAAAATGAATTTTTATGGTAATAATTTTTCAAGGATTTAAAATTTGAGCTAGAAAAAAAATGCACAGAATATTGCATTACAAATACATTTCTTTAGAATTTTAAGCATTACTTGCTACTAAAAAAAGAAAAGAATACCTTCGAGAAACAAATAAAGAAAAAAACTACTTTCTCATACTTTAGAAATGTACTGAAGTTTTACTTGGCACTCTTATGTCAGTCATTTAGCTGGGCAAGTAGAATGAAATTCTTTGCCAAGATTTAAAACCACTTCATGCACAGGCGATACAGTGGAGATACTGACAACTTTTTACGTTCAAGTTATCTGGCTTATTCCAACAAATACAGAAAATGTGAAGTAGCATGGTATTTCCCGCTCTCTAGTTTTAGGGGAAATAAATATTAATGTTGTACCTAGATAAAGGAATGAGTTACGTGTCATATACAGCTGAAAGTGTTTGCATGTAAATGGTTATAATATTATTCCTGAAATGTGTTGGCTTTTGAGTTTTCTAGAATTTGCTGTACTGTTTTTAACCTGTTAAGCTCAGATTCTTTGAGAACCATAGGGCTTGATGAACGGTTAACAGGACACTGTAGGTGTAGGTCTCTTTCATTTTATGCTATTTGAATTTTAGATCAGCTACTTTGCCCAATAAAGTGTAAAACCTGAACTTAGATGCATTTGCTTAATATTATTTAGAGGGGTTTATTATTTCTTTAGTAAAAGTCATTGTATCGTGTTTTTTTTTTTCTTTTCCTATACTCATTTTTGTCATGTACGTATAGTGTTTTAAAAGTCGTTTTTCTTTTAATATTTGTAATTTTTCGATAGCTTAATATCAGATTTTATCAAATGTTTATCATCAAATTACTTAGATTTTGGAACATTAGAACCAGAGTTAACTGCCTTCAGCTTTCTTCTTTTTCTTTTGGCAGAGAAATTGCTTTTACTCGACAACTCCACGAGAAAACTTCTCAGCTCAGCTATTATTATATGGGTTTCTACATTCATTCATGTCCCAAGATGAAATATAAGGTAAAGTTGATTTTCACATATATGTCTGTTTTTATTATAGAACAATGAATCTCTAATAAAATTTTTATCTCAGGGCACTGGATTTGAAGCTTTGAAGGAAGGACGAGTGGGTTAATAAGGAAATCTCTTTGCTGCCTCAGAAATTAAGCTTTCTGTAATGAGAACCACAGCCCCTCCTGCTCTTATAATCCACTGAATTATTGTGAGATTTAAGTATATTTCAGATTTCCCTTTAAAAAAACGTTTTATGACTCTTGTTAATGAAACCCTTTGATGTTTCCTAAGTATGAGTGGCCCACTGTAAAAACTGCAGAGTAAAGACCAGTGCAGAGGAGCAGACCACTGCCTTCCACCCACTGTGCTGGCAATAACCAAACACCTCTGCTTTCCTTAGAGTGAGGCTTTCAGCTCTGAAGATGCATGGATCTTCTACTTAAAACTTGAGGTCCAGGTGAAGATTAGGGGCATTTTACATAAAACAAGGGCATTCAGTGGTCTGGTCATTGGCCTACGAGGACATGGATTTTTTTTTTTTTTTTTTTACTTTACAAGATGTGGAAGAGCAAAGAAAGGAGTAGCTCAAGAAAAGAGTAGGTAGGATGAAGAAGCACATTTCAAGGAGAAGAAGCAGTAAAAGAAAGGATTAGAAGGGAAAGTACTGATGATGTGTTTTTAGCAAAAAGGGTAACCCAAAGGACTGTGCAGGACCCTGCGGCCGGGCTAAGGTATGTAGGCACCTGGGAGCCATCGACAGTTGCAGAGTAGAGCAGTGTAAATCGGAAAATACACATCTATCCATTCATAGACCTAGGACTTAATGGGGGTTGTAAAACATGCCAAATTAAAGAAAAAAGCGTAATTGAACCCCTTGTACCCATTACCCAGCTTTAGCAATTTTCATGCATTTCATCTATTCCTTCACTCTGTTTCCACCTCCACTCTCCCTTCAATTATTTTGGAGCAGGTCAAAAATATCACTTAATCTGTCAGTATTGTCGTATGTATTTCTAAAAGATAAGGGCATTTTGAAAACATAACCACGATCTCATCATTTACCTAGAAAGTATTAACAGTGTTTCTAAATATCACCTGATATCTAGTCAGTGTTCATATTTCCTAACTTTGTTATTGTCTCATAATCTTTTTACAGTCAATTTGTTTGACTTTAAGACCCAATAATGTTCATATATTATATTTGTGATGTGTCTCTTAAATCTCTTTAATTAATAAATTTCTCCCCCACCTTTTTCTTTCTTACAAAGGAATAATTCACAGGACTTGGTGATTAACTAAATTTGGGGATGATTATAATTCCAAAGCTTTGAGGTTAAGTACTGAATGGCTGGGGAGATGGTTCCATTGTCAGAAATTATGGATGCTGAAAGTAGGACTGGCTTTGAGAGAGAAAAGCACAGTGCCTTGCTGGTTTTACGTTGACAGTCCAGATAAGCTGACAAAGGTGTCCTGCTGGTGTTTGGAGTTTTTCTTTTGAGCTCATACTTAAGTGTACATTGTAGGAGGTAACCTCTGAATGTGCTTATCTTTAAGAACTTCTTTTATGCCTGAATTATTAATTGACTTGATAGGCCTTAACATATGTTCTGTACAGAAGGAAAAGCATGAGCATATTTCTGTTTGCCTTAAAATAATGATTTGGTTACATTTTTACTAGTATTTTATCCTTCTGGCTCATTTTTATCTGGTACTAGTTCTAAATTTGTTGAGAGCAGAAAACTCTAGTACTCAAGATATTTTTAATGTGTTTATGAGACTCAAAGAAAACTCAGGCTGTTCTTATATTAATCTTCCTTTAGTACATGACCCATTCAAATGAAATATTTTCTTTTTTCTTTTCTTTCTTTTTTTTTTTTTGAGACGGAGTTTCGCTCTTGTTACCCAGGCTGGAGTGCAATGGCGCGATTTCGGCTCACCTCAACCTCCGCCTCCTGGGTTCAGGCAATTCTCCTGCCTCAGCCTCCTGAGTAGCTGGGATTACAGGCACGTGCCACCATGCCCAGCTAATTTTTTTGTATTTTTTTAGTAGAGACGGGGTTTCACCATGTTGACCAGGATGGTCTCGATCTCTCGACCTCGTGATCCACCCGCCTCGGCCTCCCAAAGTGTTGGGATTACAGGCTTGAGCCACCGCGCCCGGCTGAAATATTTTCATACCAGACTTAGGGACTTGCAGAGATTGCACTTTTATGTCTCATCTGTGATGGCTATTCTAGTTTCACAGCATTTCTTTTGAAAGTTTTTCATTATGCCTAAGCTAAATTCTAATTTGCTCTATATTTTAACCTGTTTTATTTTTTGTCATTCGTGGACATGTTGGCTATAGTTTCATCATCCTTTTCCTCTTCATGAAGACGTTTTGCTCACACCTTTGTTGACTCTAGTCTAGACTAAATATTTCATATTCTTTAGTCTCCTTCCTAGGTAGACCTCTGATTGGAAATTCAAGCCAGCCTTTATTTAGTTTTAAGTTAAGGATTTAAAAAATACTATGTGCTTCCAGTCTGCCTTAATTATATCCGATCCAAATCCATCAGAATTAAAGCTTCAAAATATTATTCATTTAATTCCATTTATATGAGTGGTACCCCTATGTCTACTTGCCTTCTGGTTTACTTCCTTCCTTTATCCAGGAAATAGTCATTCAGATCCTACTGGGAAATAACAGCCGTGAGCAATACAGGCAACATCCCTGGTCTCATGGAACTTCCATTCTAGCAGAGAAGCTAGTGGCAATAAAGAAGACAGATGTCAGATGGGATGAGTGCTGTGTGGTAGACATTAATTAACTGAGTGTGGCTGCTTTAGATTGTGTTGTCATCGTCTCTGAGGATGAATGTTTAGGCTAAGATTTGAATGTCACAAAGTCAGCCAATGGGAAGTTTTGGGGTCATTTCAGAAAGAGACTGAGGAAATAGTTTAGCACTGCCTAGCCTTTTAGTTGCTGCAGTTGTCAGTTTTGACTGTAGTTTATGGCCTGGAGAACATTTTCATAAGACCCATCGTTAGGCCATATTTTTAGAGATTTTAAGTAATTGATCTGGGATCAACTATGGGCATCAGATTTTTTTAATGCCCAAAGATTCTGATATGAAGTCAGACTAGATAATAACTGTAGCAAAATATTTTTTCACAGCTGAGAGCCTCTTGAGAAAAGAAAGCTTATTATTTCCCATTTTAAACTTTGCTGTTTTCTGTTTATTAAATCCAGAATTACTCCTATTGAAGAAACTCATATCTTTGCCTTATCATCTGTGGCATAGAACATGAAATACTGACCAACCAGAGAATTCCCGTTTTTTTCCCCACTTGAGGTCTTTATCCATACGGTATTCTTGGTTTTTTTTTTCCCTTCCCTTTGCCCCTCCCTCATGCTTGCAAATTCCCTGTCTACTGGGAAATGTCAACTCCAGGAATCTCTACTGGACTTAAGACTAGATTTCATCATTTACCTACCTACCCCGTAGTAGTTGACGTTTCTTCCCAGAACTAGTCTATCTCCTGTGCATACATTCCATGAGAATCTAATGACATTTAACTTCTCTTTTCCCAGGTAGCTAGAGTGTGCCTGCCCCGTAGTACGTGTTTAATGCTTAGTGTACATTTGTTGAACTAATAAATGAAATACTAATGCAGCGGGCCCAGGAGTATGTAGGATAGTGAGAAATGCCTTAATTTTTTAAACAAAGATTTGTTGAACACGAATGAGATGGCTTCTCCTTTACAAATAGGTTATAACTTAGTAACAGATACACAGTTCTAACAATGTGGTAGGTATTATGACTGAGTATCTTTGAGTATTGATAAATACTCTGATAACAAAGGGAGGTGGTGACACAGGAATGTGTAACAGCTTGGAGAAGTTGCTTAACTACATCTGGTCTCAGTTTTTGCAACTGTAAATGGGAATGATGTAGAAATTAGACAGGTTGTTATCTGTGTTTGAGTGTAGATTCTATCCAGTTGGGTAGGATTCATGAAATCATTACCTGAGCTTTTGTTGAGACCTGTCAAGGCTCTCTCTGTTTGTGTACTGATAACTGACATCCAAATTTCTGCATGCTTGCTCTTGTTATTAACCAAACTTCTTAGATTAGCTTAGATGCTGGGGAAAGGGAAAAGCATGCATTACTGGACACCAATACTGCCTCTCTGTGAAAGTTCCTGCAGTTGTGGACACTTGTCTTTTGCTTAGAGGCCAGTGGCACTGCATTAGTCCATTTTCATGCGCTGATAAAGACATACCTGAGAAGGGGAAGAAAAGGAGATTTAATTGGACTTACGTGGACTGGGGAGGCCTCATATTCGTAGTTTGAGGTGAAAGGCACTTCTTATGTGGCAGCAGCAAGAGAAAATGAGGAAGATGCAAAAGTGGAAACCCCTGATAAAACCATCATATCTCATGAGACTTAATTCCACAAGAATAGTATGGAGGGAACCGCCCCCATGATTCATATTATCTCCCACTAGGTCTCTCTCACAATATGTGCAAATTATGGGAGTACAATTCAAGCTGAGGTTTGGGTGGGGACACAAAGCCAAATCATACCAGACACTGAGCTCTGTTAGAGAATAGTGCTACAGTGTAGTGAACCTTTAAGTAACAAATCCTATATCGTGCCACAGGGTGTCTGTCAGCTTTGGCCCCATCTGTTTAGGGCAAAAAAAAAAAAAAAAAAAAAAAAGAAGTCTCTTAGGGCTCAGGTATTTGTTGGCTGAATAAGTAAAATGGTTGGTTTGCTCCACTGGAGTAAGGTGAAATTAGTACATTTGTTCTAGGACTCCAACCTATATGTCATAATACTCAGGTCAAGACCATTTAGATCAGAAAAGAGTACCCTTTCTGTGCTAGCACCATTGTAACGTTCCTACTTACCCCACAAACTGAGCTAATGAATTTGAGGAGGACTAGTCAGGTTGTGTGGCAGAATATCATGTCAATACTTTAGTCCCTCTTCCAAATACTGCATCAGAAGCTAAGACTA